AGAGATGGAGGAGAAGGAATATACATAGAATGCCCAAATGGTTTAAAAATCAACCAGGCTGTACCAACAGGTTCATATTCCTCCAATTACAGAGCAGTGGCAGAAGCACTTCAAGCGGCATGTTCTTTCCTGAATGGACAACAGCACAGCAAATATAGCAGAGTGGTCTTTCTGACTGATGCTATGTCAATTCTACAAGCAATTGTTAAACCAAAAGACACTCAGTTCGTAGACTTGACGCAACAGCTGATTTACTTAGGCTCTTCAGTAGAACAATCTGTACTGCAGTGGATTCTAGGTCACTGGCTTAAAAGGCAATGAAATAGCGGACAGATTGGCCAGAAGCGGCAGTGACATGGTACAACCAAATAGCGACTTAACCCACCAAGAGATTAAAACAATAATACAATCTAGTATCCAAGAAAGGTGGCTGGATACTCACACCAGATTTTCTCCCCAAGACTCACTTCATTGCCTCTCTAGAGAGGGACAGTGTATTATATTTAGACTAAGGACTGGGCACAACAGATTTTGTCAACATGTGTTCAAATTTTTCGGTGTAGGAAATACGGAGATGTGTCCCTGCAGCGTGGCACCCGAAAATGATGAGCATGTGCTGCAACACTGTCAACTGTATGCTGACAACAGAGACGCAATCTGGCCTGTTCCAACCACACTGAAGACAAAACTGTATGGTACACGAGAGGATATAGACTGTACGATAGCTTTCATAAAGGGTACCGGCCTCCTGATATATGTTTTCTGACAGAAGGATCGAAGAACTAATAAAATGAAATATCTCAGAATGATGATACACACTGATAAATCTCTACACATTTCAACTAAGTTTAGTTGTGTACCCTTTACAGGATGTTGCAGAACCAACCCCAACCGCCCCTGGCTGTTGTGTGGTTTTTCTAGGCAAATTTACATCCAGTAGTTTGCCATTGCTTCCTGGACGGTCAGCTTTCTTGATACCACTGTCGAAACCAACGCAGAGCGCATGGCCCGCAGCTGGGATTGAACTCAGCATCCCGAAGCGTTCGCATTGACTTAGCCACAGAGCCAACACACATTTTAACTACTAGAGACAAATTCAGAGCTAACTACAGAACGTACCACCATGCAGCCAACCAATCTAGCGACGCTCCGATCTGGCATACTTATGCGTTGAGACTATGTGCAGTCAAAAAACGGCCAACAGGGGGTTTGACCATACCGAGCCAACAACAAAAAAGACCACTTTTTTGCGAGATGCAGTGGCCATACTTGAAAATGTGTACAGTTAAGCAACAGCAAGGAAATCACAATTTTTAGAGCATGCACCTTTCCTGTAGCAACATACAGATGTTAGTCGTGAACCATCTTCCAGTCCTTAAGAAAGAAAATAGGAGCTTTTGAGCTGAAATGCTATAGAAATATTCTCAGTATACCATGGACAAAGAATAGAATACTGACAATTTAAAAGATCTGAACATCAAGGAAGATTGGCTAATAAACAGCATCCTGTCTCGGAAGCTGAAAGATTTTGGTCAAATCAAGCGCCACGACGGATTGGTACCAGGAAGGAGGGGTAGAGGCCAACCAACACAATGATGGACACAGGATGTACCTGACACCTTGAATATAAAAGCACATGAGACGGAAGAGCAAGGTTCTTTCAGGCAGACCATGGTCAGAGCAATGTAAGCAAAGGACCGCACATGACCATGGTCTACCTCTGCTTCCACTGTGTGACAGTGGCAAGGCTCTCTGTGGTGCACCATCTGACACATGTTTAAACCATTTGCTCTGTTGTAGTACAGTACTGGCTCCATACCACCACTATCATTTCTGATCCTGTCCCTTCTATCCACATCGAGGATTTGCTGCAGACATTTAATTTCTATTGTTCTTAATGTCTGTGTCTGGCATTCTTCATCTTCATGTTGACCGGCTGTAAAGTCCAGACCAGTCTTGTTCTAGTAGAACCTGAATGTTGCGTGCATTATCTGACGTGCTCCCTAAATACTTGAAGTCATAAGCAGTCATTGTTCACAACCATTAGTCTTCTTCTTCTTCGCGTTCACCAGCTGTAAACTCTGGCGGAAGGTTCTGGTTGCTCGTCCACTACTGAACTGCAGTCCTGCTCCAGAACCTGAGTGTTGCGTGTGCATCAGTTTTACAGATCTCATTCTCTTGAATACAGACTGTTGGTTCCTTGCCTCTCCGGCAGATGCACTCCGACTTCAAAGGAAGCTCCCCAATTAGTCGACTCTTACGACATGCTTTTGGGGAGGCAGTGGGTCTATTCTTGTTTTCCCCACAATGGGGCCCCGGAACCCACACGGGGGCACCATTAGTCTAATTTTCCTTCTGTTTCTTTAATCCACCGCCGGCTGGCTAGGTCTGTCAGTTTTAAGTTTTTTTTTTCAAGCATTGTTGTTACGCTTAGGCTCGGTATTATGGATATCGCAACCCTTCGGCCTTATTCCATGATAAATAAAGTAAATCTGGGAGAAAAGTGGCTTTTCTGCTTACCCCCGGACCACAAGGAGTTAGTCACCCGGTCACAGTGTAGTCTGGTTTAGCCAGCTACGCTAGCGAGCCAGGCTAGGGAGTATTTAACCAGATGGAGCCTATCCTACTTTGCAAGATAGACACATCTGTACACATTTTCATCACTTAGATTGAAGTTTCCTGATAACATATATCAACTTGAAAATACATGCAGTGGGGTGCAGTCATGTGTGCCACATTATTATACTTACTTACTCGCTCCTCTTCTACCTTGGGGTGTAGAGGTTTGCCAGAAAGATCGCCAGACGTCTCTATCAGCAGTTTTCTTTCTGGCTTTGTTCCATTCCAGTCCTCTGTCAGTTAGGGACTGTCGGATGTTGTCTTCCCAGCCAGTGTAGCCAGCTCAGTCTTAATGCCTCCGTTTTGGTAGTACAACTCCAAGGTATTTGAAATGGTTAACCTGCTCCAATGCATACTGTCCCATCATGATCTGGTGTTTCTTCTCCTCTCTTGAGATCACCATGATTTTAGTTTTGGAGATGCTGATGGTCACCCCTTTCTTTTCAAGCTCTTCCTTCCAGACAAGTAAGTTGGACTGAAGGTGTGCCTCTGATTTAGCTATCAGGGCCACATCGTCTGCAAAAGCCAGCTCTGATATACAGATTGGTCTCATCTTCCAGTATCCTACAGAGTACTTCTTTGTCTTCTCCTTAAGGTCTTGATGACATCATCCATCTTAAGAATGAAGAGGTAAGGTGAGAGAATATCACCTTGTCTAACACCGCTGGCGGTCTTGAATTCTTCCGACTTTTGGTCAGCTGTTCTTACATAATTTCTGCAGCTTTTGTAGAAACTCTGTATTGCACTGATCAGGGGTGATGGGATGCTTTTCCCTGCCAAGCAGTCCCAGAGCACCTTGTCAAATGCCTTTTCCAGATCCAAAAAACATAAGTGCATCTCACTCTTATATTCCAGGGCTTTTTCACTCATCTGTCTCAGTGTGAAGATAAGGTCCTGAGAACTTCGGTTTGCTCTGAAGCCGCATTGGGCCTCGTCCAGCTGTGGCTCTACCAGACTTCTAAGTCTCTGCTCAAGAATTCTAGAGTAACCTTTACCGGGAACGCTGAGGAGGTATATGCCTCTGTGGTTTTCACATTGTCTGTTATCACCTTTTTTAAATATAGGTATAATGATGGCAATCTCCCAATCTTTTGGTATAGTTTTGCTACACCAGGCTGCCTGGAGAACCTTCAGTAGAAGACGCTCACCTTCGACTCCCATATATTTGACCATCTCTGGTGTTATACCATCATGACCTGCTGCTTTTCCCAGCTTAATCTTCTCAATAGCTGCCTTCAATTCTTCCATCCTGATGTTATCTTCCCCATGATTGAATTCCTTCTCAGCAGTGAGGTCCATTATTTCTGGGTCATGACTTACCTCAACGCCGAGGAGCTCTGAGAAGTATTCTTTCCATCTGCCCATGATATCATTTGTAGAAGCAAGCAGAGCCCCTCCCTTGTCTTTTATGAATTTAAGTGGGCACTCTTTCTCCTTCCTCCTGTTCTTAAGGGTCTTGTAGAACAATTTTTGGTTTTCTCTTGCATTTTTTTCCCAACTTTTCTCCAAACTCTTCCCATGATTTCTGTTTTGCTTTAAGCACAATATTTTTGGTATCTGTTCTGAGTGCCACATATTGTTTATATTTCTTCAGCTGTGTTCCTGGCTGCCAGGTATTGCTTCCATGCCTTTTTCTTTTCTCCTATTTTCAATTTGACTTCTTCCGTCCACCAAGGTGTCCTATGTCCCCGCCTTCCACTCGGGACTTCACCACATGCTTCTACTGCAGCTGCTGTGAGGATATTCTTGAATCTGCACCAGAGGGTTTCAGTGTCCTCTGATGATTCTTCAGTTCCTATTGCTTTCACTATAAGCTCCTGGCATCTGGCCTTAATATCTGGCTCTCTTAGCTTGTATGCTTTAATCCTCATCTCTTCTTGGTTACTTGCACGGTTGTCGGTGTTGCCTTGACCACATTATTATAGTAGCAGTAATGTACCTGCCATCACATTACTTCTAAACTCCCCCACAAATTAGCAACATTTCAGGAACAAACAAAATCTGGATACAGCAAATTGGCTTGACTCTGAACGGTTGGCTTTTACAAACAAACCATGAACAAACAGCTTGGCAATTCCCAGTTCAGGAGAGCAGAAGATCACTTATATTCAAACGTAATATCTAGTGAATCCCAGAGACATGACAACCAGGGTACCTTGGGTATGTCCGTCCCTTCTGCATGGACTTCCAAAAGCATTTCAACAGTGACCAAACAACCTTTACATAATGTATCAGTGAGACAGTAAACAGATGTAACAATATTATTTTATTTCTGGTGCACACACACACCCAGGAGATATGAAATTATTTTATATAAATAATGAACATAATAAAGCAGATTATAGCACAGCAGTCTTTAATGTCAACACACACAACTGGATCTAGACTTTGTTGAATGCTGCAATGTCAACAGACTGGACAAGGTCTTCGAATTTGGTGATTTCCTCGTCCAGAAAGTCTGTGCTCACCTGAGGCAGAGACAGCAACAAATATTATTAATGTGGTTATATCAGCAGGTATGGGCAAGTTAAGGATGAATACACTGCACATGTGAAACAAAAAAAAAATAGTGTGTGTGAGGTCGTCACTGAGGTGAAGTTGCCGAGCTGTCTGCCTGGCTCTGAAGGTGTTGGCTGTTTCACTGACAACCCTAGGGAGCAAAGACTGAGCTAAAGAACATGAGCTCAGCAAGACACACTAGGCAGCGGGCTAACAATACATGAAGGAACTTATAACAAAGTCAATCTTCTTTCATCTACTAAACTATGACTATGGGGCCTGCAGAATTACATATCTGCTTGCTGACCCAAAGCAATGTGATGTAGAAATCAATTTCTGGACTTTAGCCTTGTTATACATGAACATCTGTTTTACAAATCTGGCTTATTTGTATGCAGTCTATTGGTTCCTCACCTCTCAAGTAGATGCACTCCCAAATTTGAAGACCCCCCACCCCACAAGTCGCCTGTTATTATAGCTAATCTACAGTTTGTGCATTCTGTTTTAGCAACTATACAAGAAAGATATAATTCGTCGCTGAAATAAAGCCAATTCACTGCTGAGGAAAACTACGTGGTACAAGTAGGAATCACATCGCACTAGGGAAAAAGCCAGTAAGAATTACTGAATGAAAAAGGACACACACACAATATTCAACCGACTTTAAAAATCAGGCTTGCAGCATTAGGAATTTTTTGAATAGATCCCTTAAACTATTTTATACAGGTAACAAACTGAGAACATAATTGTATTGAGCTTTTTTACAATTTCTATTTTGACATATATAAAGACAGTAATCAACAAACAAGAACAGAGTGAACCATTATGGAGTGCATTTTCCGGGTTCACAAACAAATATGTACTGTCTTGGTTCATGTTGTAACCCCATCACTGAGGCCTATGGAAGTCAATCTGGCTCAAAAAAAGCCACTGGAGTCACAGGAAGACTCCTCCAAATGCTGTACATAGTTAGTTTATTCAAATCCAGGCCTCATTTACTCAGGCACAAATATAACTAATACGATGGCAAACACACGCAACAGTTAATTACACAAACAAGGCAAATATATGTACCTTGTCATCTTCAACCACACAGGAGATCTGCAGTTTTCTGATGCCATAGCCAACAGGAACAAATTTGGCTGAAAAATAACAACATGAAAATCAATTTAAAAAAGAAAAGAAAAAACACGACTTCTGATTGTCCTGCATACTTCACCGACTGTAAGCTCCTGCAAAAAGTCCTGGTTGTCCGTCGATTTACACTTCCGATTTGTGCCAGGCCCTGAGTGTTACTGGCTTATTTGTGTGCAGCTCATTGTTCCTTGCCACCCAGGCAAATGCTCTCCAACTTCGAAGGAAGCTCCCAATTAGTGGACCCCTAGGACATGCTTATTTTGATAGCAGTGGGTCTGTTCTTATTTGCCCCACATGTGGATCCTTGCATACACCAGTACATGGCTGGTGTCAACCTTAAATGATGTAGCAAAGGTATTAAACATATTTTGTTATGTCAACTGCCAAAAATTGTGTATAAACTTATCACATACAAAAATCAGGACGTCTGATTATGGAATTCAAAAAGTTTGTTGCAAAACTGACTTTTTATTTTGCCAACATATCTAGTAAGAACTATTTACTACTACTTTGTCCGTCTAAAACGTGTTATTGCCCAGGCCAGAGAATTATTTATATACTGAAATTATTTACCAAAGACTGTAATCTAAAGCCACATTAACAAACTTACATGCACCCCACAGGAGTCCATCGGCCTCAATGCTGCGTACTTTTCGCTCCATCTCCTCCATGTCAGTTGTGTCTTCCCAGGGCTTGACGTCCAAGATAATGTTACTTTTGGCAATGATAACTGGCTCTGAAATAGAGCACAGAGACACTCAGGTTAAAATAACATAAAAACTGTAACTATGTAAGCCATACGCTTCCTTATGACTTGTTATACAACCACCACCATCACAGAATAACACATCTATGTCAACAGAGAGAGAAAATTGTTATACAACCATCACAGAATAAAGCATCTATGTCAACAGAGAGAGAGAGAGAGAGAGAGAGAGAGAGAGAGAGAGAGAGAGAGAGAGAGAGAGAGAGAGAGAGAGAGAGAGAGAGAGAGAGAGAAAGAGAGATGTTACACAACCATCAGAGAATAAAACATCTATGCCATGAGAGAGAGAAAAATGTTACACAACCATCACAGAATAAAACATCTATGTCATGAGAGAGAGATACAACAAAGTTACTTTATTTTTAAAGAGTCAAAATTGGACACAGAGGGCGGTCTTACATTCCATCATTTCAGACAAAATAAATTTTCAGAATAAAACAGTCAATGCTGAGCCTGTATACAACATGAGGACGACATTTGCAGGCAGACACAGCAGGGCTGCTGCCTGGGTTAGCTTTCCCGGACTCTCACTAGTATGACTTGTACAGAAACATCTGACTCCATAACCTAGTTATATCACATCATCTCCTTCTCCATTTAAGGCTGGATTTATCAAAGGGTACATTCAATACAACCCTCAGCTAACTTAACCTAGAACAGGGCTAGTCAACTAAGTCTACCCAGGGACCAATAATGTGAACATAGGAATCGCCATGGGCCAGAGGCCAACACCTCAGCACAAGATAGAAGACAATTCAAAAGAAAGCAATGATTACTTTTGGCTTTCCTTGCTGCATAATCTTCCACACGTTTAGCTTTCAGTGCTTTTGTCTCTTCATCATCTGAACCAAACAGATCAAGATCATCGTCGTCGTCAGCAGCAGCAGCTTTGGGGGCAGCAGGAGCAGCGGCAGTAGTAGCAGGTGCTCCAGCAGGCCCATATGTCTCTATTGGCTGTCTAACACCAGGCAAACTGGAAAAGTAGGAATAAACAGCAGTTATGAGTAATTCAATGGCGTGGTAAAGACTCTCTGGGATTAAGTGAACAGTGTATTTAGCATATCTGGATGATAATGATCTTGTTCACCGGCTGTCTAAAACCCTGGTGGGCAGTTCAGGTCATCTAGACTTCAGTGTTGTTCCAGAACTTGACTTTTTATGCATATCTGGTTTCCAAATCTGGCTTATTTGTCTGCAGACTGTTGGTTTCTGGCCTCTCTGGCAGACACACTTTAACTTAGAATGAAAACAACATACTTAGGGGCAGGAAAGGGTGTCTATTCTTTTGTCCTCCCAAAACAGGGTCCCAGAACCAACAAGAGGAAGCAAGGCATTCACGTATCTTTATGTTTACTGATAAAGACTGGTCAAACAGGGTAACCTGCAATATTAATAATCTACGTACATTCACTTTCTGCTACATGACAAGATCCTGACACCGATACAGAAAACTAACAAGACACACCTGTCTTTCTGACTATCATAGGATGCAATGTGGTTGTACCAACGAAGAGCATGCGGCAGGCTTGCAGGTGGTGGGGTGCCGACAGCTAGAAACACAGCAATGTCAGCTTGAGATGGCACATACCTGAAAAGAACACAAGTGTCTAATTCAATTTTGATACATGACATATGTAATTATCTGACTTCAACCACATTCAAATTTTTAATTTTCTGTCAAGCTTACACTATTAAAAAAACAACTAAAAAGCAAAGAAAAAGTCTATTACAACTTTTATGGGTTTTGATGATATGTTTTTCTTTGTTCTGTGGCCAATACACCTTTAGCAGGGCTATTCCATTTGCGGCCCGCCAAGGGGCCTGCGAATCACTTCTAGCTGTATTGTATTTTAGATCTTTCTATGCGGAGGCTGGGGCCTCTGGCCCTTGACAATCCCCGTTTTTGAATATTTTAGCCCCTGAGCCAACTTAGTTGATTAGCCTGACCTATAGGGGTCACATATTATGGCGGCCAAAAAACAGGTCACATGAAAACTGCGGACTTCCGGCGGCTATACCACCACCGCCAAACTAGATTGCTGGGACTTCACCAGCAGAGCTGTAGGAGATGCGGAAGCCGCTGCTCATGAGTCCCAGCCATCTAGTTTAGCCCTGCTCCGCTTGTAGCAGATCGGGAAATACTCTTGGCGGTAGTCGCCGGTCTGCAATTCAAGTTGCTGGAGGTCCACAATTTACATGTGATTGAGGCCTTGTCAGGGTGTGTTTTTGGCCGCCATAATATGTGGCTGTTAATCGGAGGATAGCCCACCTATATATAAAACAGCCTTACTACTGGCTGCAACTGCATAGTGTATCAATTTTTTTTGGGTTAGATATCTGATGTGAAAATGATTTTTGTGAGATCTCTTTGTGATGTTATAACAAGTTTATGATGACATAACTGCTTTCTGTGGCAAAAAGCCACCAACGTCTTGGTCAAAGGAAAGCAGTTATTTCTTTCCTCCAGCAGTATCTAGCTACTATTTTCCTTTATTTACATTAAGAAAAAAAACATTCTACAAAAGAATGACTCTAAATATGAAAAATCTGTCTGTCTGCTCAGTGGTCATCACAGGTTTAAATCCCTAGGCCAGATGTTTACAAAAAAAAAATTGACTAAGACTCCAAATATTTTCTTCTCCTCCTCCACTTTCACAGGGTAGTCTAATTATATTTAATATAATTAAAAATTAAGTTAATAATTTAAAAATAATGAAGTTTAATAAAATAATAAGGCCATTTATTTTAAATGAAATGTGAAACAGGCAGTTTTTGTGTGTGTTTAAACAAGATTTTAAATCTTAATAGGTGAAAGGGTTAGGGGCTATCTTCCGAATAACGGGCACATTTTATGGCGGCCGCAAAAAACACCCTAACAGAGCCTCAGTCACGTGTCGTTTGCGCACTACCGGCGTCTTAATTTGCGATTTTCCGGCGACTACCGCCGAGAGTATCCCCCACGGGGCGTGGATTGGGGCTAAACGGCTGGGACTCACGAGCAGCAGTTTCAGCATCCCCTGCAGCTTTGCCAGTGAGCCCCAATCCACATCGCGGCATAAGGGACACCCTTGGCGGTAGTCGCCGGAAAACTGCAAATTAGGTCGCCGGAAGTGCACAAATGACACGAGACCGAGGTCCTGTTTTTGGCCGCTATAATATGTGCCCGTTATTCGGAGGATAGCCGGGTTAGGCGCTGGCAGTCAACCGAACATCAGGTTACCCAATATAGAAAGGTTGAACAGGATTTGCACTCGTCAAACTTTAAAAAAATTTATCAATAACAGGTAACACCTTCAGAATGCAATAATCGAGGGGTGAGGGGGTGAAGAAAACGGGAGTCTTCTTCATTTCAATCATCGGCTATAAACTCTGGCAAAAAAAATCTGGCTATTCATCCCCTTCTGGACTCTTAGTCCTGTTCCAGACACTGAGTCTCTGAGTGCTGCATGCACATCAGCTTCACAGGTCTGACTCAGCGTGCAGACTATTGGTTCCTTGCCTCTCAGGCAGATGATCTCCAATTTTAAAGGAAGCTCTCAAATAGTCTACTTTTACAACATGCTTTTGGTCAGGCAGTGGGTCCATTCTTGTTTTTCTCAAACAAATGGGTCTACGGAACTCGGGGAGAAAAAAAAGGGTAGTGACTTAAGTGAACAGCAAAGAAGAAATCAACAATGATCATTCAGAATTCATTTGATGAAATTTTTGGCTGTCCTCGGAATAATGGTCCCAAGTTATTGAGGCCGAAAATATACCATAACAGGGCCTCAGTCACATCCGCAATTGACACGTGACTGAGGCCATGTTAGGGTATATTTTCGGCCTCGATAATTTAGGGACTACAGTTTCGGAAATTTGCGATCTTTTCGACAATTTCCGTTACCATGGAAACCGTTTGAAACTTGTTTCGGAAATGTCGGCTGGGGTTTCGGGATGGGTCCTAATCTCTCATGAAATTTTGGGATTGGTGTGATTTTCACCCACTCTAAATGGCTGAAAACAGCGGGAAGGAATCCGATTAACAGCGCATGTCTACGACAGCCGGACGTCCTCTGTTTTTCTGTTACATCAGTTTGATTGAAAATAGCGATAAGTTTTTCAGGTTGGCTTTAGGCTTTAACTGTTACTCGTCCTGGTAATGTTAGTTATAATTGAATTCTCCGTCCAATTTTACATTTGTGTATAAAATTTCTTACTGAACGGTGGCTTGGTAGATGTACAGTGACATTTTTCAGGCAATCGCTGGCTCAGCCAGTGGCTGTGTCTCATTGCCTGCCATCTTGTCCAATGACAGTGCAATGTAAACAAAGCCGATACAGAACTGCGCAGAGAAAAACTTCTTTTTTCTGGGTCACAAGTTTTAGCGGCTGTTTCTTACATCTCATCTCCACAAAAACCTACATATCTCAGCTCAGAAATGACATACAAGCCTAAATGAGGTACCATTGGAAAGAGATTGTTTACAGCTATCTAACTGTGCTGGTTTTATTGGTGTAGAGGGCATTAAAAAATTTTTACTGAAGTAGCTAGATAATTTGGGACCGTTATTATTTGGATAGCCTAATTTTTTTTTTAATATCGACAAATATCCTTTTGCGTCATACTGCCGGACTAAGGCACAGCAAGCATTTATATGTAATCTATGTCCCCATCTGAACTTCATGATGACCTGCGCTTGAAAAAAAAAGACGACTTGAGGTCACAAACAGTTCTCAGACTTTGACTTGGCTTTCGCCGACAGGATCCGTCCGTTAACTTTTAACTGGATTCCAGTTGCTTATCAAATCAAACACTACTATGGTGCGCCGGCGCTTACCCGTCGATGTAACTACGATCTTCAAGGAAATTGTTCAAAGCCTGAAGGCCAGACTGCGACTTTAGATCTCCGAAACCCATTTTATGTTGTTAAATGACGTTCTTGGAATCAGTGAGCACAAGAAAACGTGTCTGCTGGTATAGAGCCGGAAACAGAAAGAACCGGCGAGGTGGGTGGCGTTAAAATAGTTTTCCTAGAGATGAAACGAGTTTACAGAAACTTGAGCAATTAATGAATTTAAAATATCAACTTATTGAATACAAGAGTGTAGTAGGCGTACAGTAGATTTTAAAACTTTTAAATATATATATTTAAACTTGAAATAATTGAAGTGTTATATTTGTTGCGGCGAAAAACAATGTTGTCAACTTTTTACATGTGAAGGACAACGGAAGTTGGTCGAGGCAGGAGAGAAAGGTTAGAAGATTTTTGCTGAAAGTAAACATTTTATGGTTTTTGTTAGAGTATTCCCTTCTTGCGTATTATGTTTGTTTGCAGACTGCAGCTGTGACTGAGGTAGCTAGTTGAATTACATTTAATATGCAAGCGAAATACTTTTGTGCACTGAAACTAATAAACGTTTCTTTGGTTGGGTTGACTTGCTTGGATTTCATTACACAGTTGACTACTAAAATAAAATATTTTTTTATTAGAACTTAAACTTGATTAACTAAAGTTTTGCAGTTACTGTCAGATATAAAAAACGACTATGAGATAAGGACTGGTGGATATCAGGGATGCCAGAATATGTGGCTTAGGCACTTTCTACACCCTTACCCTAGAACTAGAACAATAGTCTGCTGCCCCCTCCCCGTCAAACTAAAGGGAGACTAATAATAAACACCCTCCCCCCACCCAAAAAGTGAAGGTACACAGCTAGCAACAAATTTTAAAAGTTTACTATTTCTGTTGGTATTTTGGTCTGCAGTCAGTCAGCATAATCATTGCTTCTGTCTACCAGATCTTGAACAGCATGGCTATAAACAAGGCTGGTTACTGTATTAAAATAGTCAAATATTCTTCTTCCCACTCACCTGCGGTAAACTCCAGTACAAAGTCCTGGTTGTTTTTCACATTGCAGGGCTTTCCTGTTGCATTTATCTGTTTTACAGATCTGGCTTAATTGTTTGCAGACTGCTGGTTCCTCTCCTCTAAGGCATATGCTCTCTGGTTTTGAAGAAAATGTCCATCTGATCCTGACCCTGTTGCTGAGGCTCCCAGTTAGGGACAGGTTTCTAGGATGACCACAGAGAGGTGTTAATAGGTCTTGAGCTAGTGTGAGCCTTGGTCATTCTGCACTATCATGTGTGGTTCAGTATGCCTGCTGCTGCTTTTTTTCTAGTTCTATGTTGCCTTTCAGCGTCAGGTTTTGAAGAGGCATCTGGTGCGGGTCTTGGTCTGTGTTACTGTTACATAGATGCTGGTTTTCATGACCTCTGATATCCCATCCATCCATGACTTGCATGGTCAACCTCTGTCCCTGCTTCTGTTACATCTGGCCTGGCTCTGTGTTGCACTATCTGTTGGTAGTCCTGACACATGTCCAAACCATTAGATCTGTTGTCTCTTGATGTAGCTTAGTATTGGTTCTGTCTGTTGGTAGCCTTGACACATGTCTAAACCATTAGATCTGTTGTCTCTTGATTAGCTTAGTATTGGCTCTGTCTGTTGGTAGTCTTGACACATGTTCAAACCATTAGATCTGTTGTCTCTTGATTAGCTTAGTATTGGCTCTGTCTGTTGGTAGCCTTGACACATGTTCAAACCATTAGATCTGTTGTCTCTTGATTAGCTTAGTATTGGTTTAGTCAGTTGGTAGTCTTGACACATGTCCAAACTATTAGATCTGTTGTCTCTTGATATAGCTTAGTATTGGCTCTGTCTGTTGGTAGCCTTGACACATGTTCAAACCATTAGATCTGTTGTCTCTTGATTAGCTTAGTATTGGCTCTGTCTGTTGGTAGTCTTGACACATGTTCAAACCATTAGATCTGTTGTCTCTTGATGTAGCTTAGTATTGGTTCTGTCTGTTGGTAGCCTTGACACATGTCTAAACCATTAGATCTGTTGTCTCTTGATGTAGCTAAGTATTGGTTCTGTCCCAGATTGTTTCCTGGTAATTTCTAACCCTGTCTTTTCTAGTTACATTTAGAAATGAATTTAATTTTAGTTTATAATTTTGTTTGCTTCTGTTATTAATGACCACATTTGACACTGTTAACTCAATGTTGGTATAAAAATAATGTCAGTTGTTACATGTTTTATTCTCATCTGCCCAATGATTTGATTTGCTTTATTAAATCGGTGTTCTATCTCTGCTTCCATTTTTTTAATTGGATGAGATTATGCTCTCTAGAAATTTGAAAGCACATCTGCAACCCATCAGATACTCATTGACAGCTTCTCATAATTCAGTTGCATCATCTGACAACGGAGTGCCGTTATCTTAAATTGAAAGCAAGCCTATGGTGTGACACTTTGCATATATATAATAATTCAGTTCAAAAGACTTGCGTTGATCGCAGGTTGTGGAGAGGCATGATCACCTTTAGGTTGACTTGATGATGATGATGATTTTAATAGTAGGCAATGGCTTACCATACATTTAGTGCTTACGCATTACATCACATACATTTGCCTGAAATTTATGGCCCAGCTGTTGTTTACAGAGCAAAGTAACTGCCCTATGACCTGCGTTTTATGATGCTGCTGTATGCTGTCACACTGAAATAAATGCATTTTACAGAATTTGTTTTTCTAATTCTTTACTAATATAGTTTGTTTTCTATCAACCAGTTGAATGTTACATTGCAGTGATAACGGAATCAAACTAGTTAAAATAATAGCAATCGGAAGCAGCTGTAATATTATCCTGTTGTGCTTTTACATATCACATAGGGCTCACTGTCTGTTTCTCCATTCCAACATGTCCAATGCAGTTCTTTCGAGTTTATGGATGGAATTCAATCCAGCAACTTTGACCTCTCTCATTAACATTCATTTTAGGGTTTCTATTTTGACATACTAATTTTGTGAATCTATTTCTTTCACATTTTAGCTCATGTTTGGTTATTTTCTGCTCACTTGTTTTCAGGATGGGCCCACTGTAGTGTCATCTTTTTTCTCTTATAACTGTTTATACCAGGTATTTCTTTTATGTCTTTTGCATTCCTTGGATATATTTAATTTAATATTCATCATCACCGTGTGGGTTCCGGGGCCCTATTATAGGGAAAACAAGAATAGACCCATTGCCTACCCACAAGCATGTCGTAAGAGTCGACTAATTGGGAGCTTCCTTCGAAGTCGGAGTGCATTTGCCTGAAAGGCAAGGAACCAACAGTATGCACACGAGTCAGATCTGTCAAACGGATGCACACGCAACATTCAGGTTCTGGAACAGGACTGCAGTCCAGAAGTGGACAAACAACCAGAACTTTCCACCAGAGTTTACAGCTGGTGAACGCAAAGAAGAAGCAGAAGAATATTCATCAGTTTCTTCAGTCATTTGTTTTCAAATGCATTTAACATTCTCTGCATGTCATAAGTCACATGTGTGATATAATTAGGTGAACTAGTTTTATCAGAGTTATCAACACCAGAGCTGTTTAGAACATAAAGAGTTAAATAAAAATAATGAGATCTGGAAAGGTTAACCTGGTGAATAAATGCCAGATAAGGTCGGATGTGCCAGCCGATAGGTGCAAATATCACAGCTATGCTGTAAATGGACACAATGCAAAAAACGTCACTCGGATGAGCGATGGAAAAGAAGAAGAAAAAGATAGAAAGATTCCAGAAAGTAATTCAAGTCTGGTGCAGACATAATCATTTGGGAATTATGTCAGTCTAGTAATTCATTTGATGCAAAAATAATCATATGTCCCTTTTTTTTGTGTGAAGTCTAGTAATTCAAGTTTGGTGCAAATATAATCGTTTGTGAGGTTTCCAATCTATTAATTCAAGTTTGATTTCATGAAAAATTCACATGTGAATTGTTTTTTAGACCTCATTTGAATCAGAGCCATGCAGCGGCTGTGGCCTATAGGACATGTGGCAAGGATCCAGAATGCTGTCAGGATTGTCCAAGCAGGTTTGTTGTCTCTCACTTTTATATTACAGTATTTCTTTTGTATGTATACACACCTGTGGATCCTAACTAGTGCTATAGAGTTTGTGCACTGGGCTGAGATTCTCTTTATGTGATCTATGGGAGGTGAGTGGAGCACTTGTGGGGTTGTTTGTTTGCAAAGATATTAATAATTTACAGAATAGTAATACCAGCCAAGCCTCTTATGTGTAAATAATTTGATGAATGTTCAGTAAAAGTAGTATTAATATCAGGGAGGTCTGGTAGCATAATAGCTAGAATGCTTGCTTAACCCTTTCTCTGCTATGGGCGTATTTTCCCATTTTCGCAAAGGCTGCTACAGAAGCCTTTGGTAATTTTTGTGTGTGACTCCCACACAAAGGGGGATTACATTTAAAAGATAATGATAATATCAGTCCATATATACTGTTCACAAAAATTAACGCATAGTTATTCGATGGCACGTTTTTATTAGTTTGTAAATAAAATGTTGAACTCGGGTATTGAAAAGCAACCTCATATGTTGTTTACTGTTGACATGTGGGCGTGAATTGCATGGGTTTTTATAATAATTGCAACGCAATGTTCAGTTGTGTTTGAGACCAAATTTGTGAGCATAGCTTATGATGTGTGCATGAGAAAGCAACACAATTTGGGGTGAACACTATTCACTGCCTATGTAACTGAAACCCTAAAAAAGGATAACACTACACCAAAACACTCAGTTCATTTTCGAGCAGTCAAGAATGGCGCCTTTGTAGATAAATTTAAGGAATCTTGCTATTGGCCGATTGCAGGCAGGAGAAAGTCAAATCAGGTTGCCAGGCATCTAAACGTGCATCAGAGTACCAGCAGTCGACTTCGGCACTGGTTCCAAGCCACTGGTTCTGTTGAAAACCGACATCGCAGTGGACGATAACAGCAGCAGAGAATCGCTTTATTCAGCTTCCTTACCTGTGACAGGTTTATAGCAACTAGGACATCATGTGTCTGATCAAACTGTTCGGAAGAGACTGCATGATGTTGGACTTTGAGCACAACCACCACACCGAAGACGCATCGCCATTGCCAAAATTGACCTCTTTGGGCAACCAAAATTGTCTCTGGGCAGGTGACAGTCAGTGGAGATATGTCTGGTTCAGTGACGATTCTTTCTTTTTATTGCAACGTCATGATAGATAGTGTAGGGTCTACCATAGGCCCAAATTGTGTTGAAGAAGCTCTGCTGCACTATGGTGGAGGTGTAATGGTGTGGAGAATGATAAGTTACAATGGCAGGAGTCAATTTGTGCACATTGAAGGAAGCTTGAATGTGTAACGATACGTCTGTGTTTGCTGTGTTGAAGAAACTGGGCTGGTTCTGAGAAAGTACTTTAATGTTTCAGCATGTAAATCCACGCAGCCTGTACCTTCTCCTAATCTAGTCGAGGTCTTTGTGGATGACAAGCAAGTTTTCGTGGAGCCGGGTACTACGGTTTTACAGGTGAGTGACTTCACTGTCATGCTAAGGAGCTATTATGGTCTTAACCCTTACGCTGCTACGTTCCCGGCCGTAACTGTCTGCCCTGTGCTAAGCAATGTGGAAAAAAAATCTCTGCTGTGCGCAATACTTTTCTATACTCCAAACACGAAAGATGCGTCGGCGGTGAGAGTTATATTTTGTACACCCAAAATTTTGTTACCCTGGGGAGTTGCGTGGTTGGCCCGAGTGGTGACAAGTCAGAGGCACGATGGTGCCCCACAAACTTGACTAACGAAGCTACCAACCCCCGCGCCCCTCTCCCCCCAGTCCGTCCCAAAATTTGATTGACGAATCTACCACGGCTCCCACTTTAATCATAGTTATTTGTAGTCACCATGTTATTACATACCCAAAAAAAAAATTATAATAATACTTGAGTCATCCGTTGCTGAAAAGTAGCTGAACTGAAAGGAAAATTTACAATAATAATAAAAAAAAAAAAAAATCAAAGTTGAGGGTTGAACACACGACCCTCCGATTCAAAGGCGGACGAGATACCAACTACACTAGACTAACGCTTGACACATTGTGCAGTGTGAATGATAATAATGAATGATGTGCGCAGACTATCAATAATGTGTCTTATTGTGTAGTCTATCGCAGCCTACATGAGCACTGTTGTCTGAGAAATGTAACATTCTCAACAATAGTTAAAAAAAATTCCCTCAACATTATTTCACAGGAGTTTTTAGCAAACAGTCTTTTGCTCCAGTACTCATTTATTTTGAGTTTCTTTGTTCTAAACATTAGCAGACAAGACAGAAAAAAAAAATTCATCCGAATCTGTGTCTGTCCATCAGGAAAGACGAGAACTTGTAGTGGCAGGTGCCTTCTCAATTATTTCCTTGCAGAACTTGTTAGTTTCCACTGCGATGAAAGTCATCAGTGATTCCATGGGGGGGGGGGGGGGGGGGGGGGGGGGGGGGGGGGGGTGGGGGGGGTTTTAAACAAAATCAAGCAGTGAACTGTTTGAATTTGCAGTAGCAGAAATACAGCCAGAGCTGGAGTCATCAAAATTATGCACTATTGGTATCAAATCATCGGTTGACCAAGACAATGACCAATTTTTTGCCGTTTTGATGGCGCTTCATTATCGCTGCTTTCTGATTCCGATGATGAGGACGTCGGACAGGCAAACAGCTTTTTCTTGGACACGCTGGTTTGAGCCATCGATATTAATGGCCTAGTCAAATCTTCTTTTTCACTGTCAGAAGTACACATTTCAAAGTCATCATTGCTATCTCTTCTTGACAGAAACTCCATCAATTCTTCATCAACTTTAACAAGTGTTCTTGCCATTTAGTACTAACGAAGTGTAGAATAATCCAAACCCACAAATATAAATCAGGGCACAAAATACAGAGATCACCGACCATGCTGTCATGGTAAACAAAGCGACGGGATAATGCAGAATGCAGTAAACACACCTAAATGCTCGTGCCAGTGCTTTTAATCGTATGTAAATGGGTCAGTTGAATCTAAATATAGCTAATGTATATTGCCCTTTGACCCCTGAGACAAGAGGTCACAGAAATCTGTAAGGAAAGCCCAAAAACGCGTTGGTACGTCCAAAGCATTAGGGGTCAAGAAACAAAATAACATCCAAAGGCGGGCGTAGCAACGTACGGGAAAACTGAAAAAGACGTCCATAGCCGCGAAAGGGTTAATGTGAGAGTTAAGTGTCTCTTCTGCTTTACATGTGGATTTTCAGTGGTCTGTTCATTCGTGTGAGTTTTCGGTGTCTTCACACTCTTACAATGAGTTTTCAGTGTCAGTTTTGTCATGCTTGCCAATCTAAGTGAATGTATTGTTTAACAGTGAGTTATCTGGCTGTAATCTTGCCAGTGAGTTTTCAGTATCTGTACTGTCTTACAAGCGAATTGTCAATATCTGTGTTCTTGCTAATGATTTGTTAATGAATGTGCATCCTTGCTAGTAAGTTCTTGCTATGTGTAGTCTTATCTTATTAATTATCATGTTTCATTTGAGTTACACGCAATAATAGCTTAACACAGTATGCTTTATGCATGTACAACTACTACTTTTTGAAATAAGAGTATTTTATATGATCTTGACAATGTCTAAAGTACTAGTCGGAGGTTCTCTCTGTGAGGCACTTTAGATAGATGGTAGTACCCTATTTTATTTAAAGATCAGTCAGCCATTGGTATGGTCAGTAAGAGACACCCCTCCTCCATCCCCCTCCACTTTGCCAGGACATCTCCTGATTCCCTCGTTAGGCTGGTCAACTTAAGAGGTTAGTTTAAAATAACCCTTATCCTGAGGGAGATTGAAACATGCAGCTGCGACACCAGGAGGCAAATGTGGTGGCTTCACCTATGTAGCGAACTTTGTAAAATAAGAGAAGTTTGTACCAAGACATGGACAGCACAAAGCGGTGATATATATCTGTTTTAGAAAATCAGAGCAGTGTTTCTTCATTGTAATTTTGAAAGTTTTATATGATTCATTTATAAAATTTGTTTTTTTTTAAATCATTGTTGTAGTGTGCTCCTGACTAGATACAGTGAATTATGCCAGGCAATACATTGTGCAATCTGTTGTTGTCTTCTTTATTCAAATATCTCAGGCATGTGCAGTGGCAGGTGTGGAAATTCCCCGGTTCTGCTATCATGATCGACTCTCAATCGCTGGCAACTGTCGCATGTGCTTGGTTGAGGTGGAGAGATCTGCCAAGGTTGGTTTGAATACTTTTAGAGTATTCTTTATTAATATAATTTGTTACATTTGATAATATTTGTAACATTATCACTAAATGTGGTCACAAACTATTGCCTTCAGTGATCTCTGGTCATATGCTTAATCCACTGTGGGTCATAAGTTGGGATGTCAGCTCAGTCTTTCTTAGGTTTCCCTAAAGCTTAGTTGTCAGGTCTACTGGATGTGGCCACATGTTTCTTTGCAGCTCCTCCAGGAGAGGACAATCTTGTAAGACACGCTTTGGGTGCTAATCAGCATGAAAACACTGGCAGACTAATTTGGATCATACCTAATTTATATGAGTTCGTTGAGTCTGCAGTGTCCACTGCATAAGCAAAACATAATGACTTTGTCCTGTTCTGCTCTGGTGATTGAGGGTCTCAAACCACAAATAAAGAAGAAAACAACCAGGCTTTTTAACATAGATGTTACAGAATATACTCATGGAATACTGTGGAGCAGTGAGATACCAAATACTGACAATCTTTCTTCTTCCTTGCTTTCATTCTCGCTGCCAGTGGTTTGCCGATGAGAAGTCTATGTGGCATGTCATCTACTGTTACATACAGCTAGGTTGGTTTTCCATTGGAATGCCAGCTGGTTATACCTGGGATCTCTTCTACTTTTAGAAAGGATGTCTGTAGGACATGTTGAGGATTCCGTGGTGCCTTTCCTCAGGGGCAAAGTTGTGAATCCACAGTCTTGAATTTGTTATTGGCATGGATGCAGAGTCTGATGTGTCCAGTCGAAATATAATGGTCTGTTTCTTTTGTGGGAGGAAGTTGACTGGGTCTTCAGGATTGTGTCCTGGATGGAAAGCATTCCAATGAGTTCTAATGGCTGCCTTGGCCTCAGTTCACACAGAATATACACTGAAAAACAGTAAAATATTTAACCATTTATTGTTTTGTTTAGTGATACAATCTTTTGTCAGAATTCTCTACTTGTTATCTATATGTGTTTTCCCTTGCTGTGCCTCTTTTAAATTTTGGGGATGGTTCTTTCATTCCTTGGATCATCTCAACTTGCTGTGTGGGTTCTGATGTCATCTGTAGACCCACAGCGCCCCAAACCCCTCAAACATGTAAAAAGCAACTACTTAGGGGTGCTTCCGTCAAAGTTGAAGTGCATCTGCCTGAGAGGTAAAGAACCAGCAGTCTGTATACAGATAAGACAGATCTGTGAAATGGATATGCACACAAAACTCAGGTTCTGGAACAAGACTTAAGTTCAGCATCTGTGTTAGGTAAACCATTACTGCTTTACTCCTCTCTCTCTCTCTCTCTCTCTCTCTCTCTCTCTCTCTCTCTCTCTCTCTCTCTCTCTCTCTCTCTCTCTCTCTCTCTCTCTCTCTCTCTCTCTCTCTCTCTCTCTGCCTGCTGTTGTAGTCACTAAATGTCTTTGCAGTTGTTAAATGAAAAATGATATGTACCTGTATCGTTACGTAGCCTATTGCCTCGTGTGCCATGCCAGTCATGAAGGGGATGAGGGTCAAGACTGATTCTCCACTGACCAGAAAAGCCAGGTGCGTCCAACATTATGCTTGTATTTATTCTTTCTGTTGTGGCAATCACAAAATTGTATTGAAATTTTTCCTGTGGTTTCGGTGGCCCCATTGTTGAGGGAAAAAGAATAGACACCCCCCTTCTTCCCCCTCCATCTCTCTCGTGAGCAGTGTCATGAATAAGTGGCCACTAATTAGGGATTTTTTCTTGGAAGCTGTAGTGCATATGTCTGAGAGGTGAGGAACTGACAGTCTGCATACAAATACGCTAGATCTAATGTACAAACGCAAAACTTGACTCCAAAGTCCAGAAGTGGTCGAACAATAGGACGTTCCAGCCAGAGGTTACAACTGGTGAACGTTCAGAAGAATATATTAGGTTGTTAAGGACACACTCTCACAATGGGGACAGTGTATTACTGAGATCCAGGAGAGGAACAAAGAATAATAACACTGTGACATAACACTAGATCAGTGAATTTCAACCGGGGGGGGGGGGGGGGTGACAATTTTGAAATGCGGGTGGCACCTAAAAAAGGATGAAAACCACTGCCACAGATGCTGTAAGGAGGGTTGGTATGAGGCAGGTACCTAAAGTACCTAAGCCTTTTTTCAGTGCTTAATAATAATGTTCATATTGGCAAATAAATTAAAAGTCAGAAATGTGTTTGAGGAAATTTTCTGTTAGCTAAAAGTGGTGATCCAAGGGGTCGACCCAACCTAAAATGGGCACCAGATAATTTCCTGGGAATAAAGGCGGGTGGCATAATTGTAACCACATCAGTCGTTGAGTGCTGGTTGGTATATATAATTACTGGTCTAGTACTGTATGCCTGATGTGTCAGTGTCGTGAAAAGGAGTCCTTGATATTGACATCATCAAGACTTTCTTTGTAGATAAAAGGTGCCGGTACTCACTGAAATCATCATCATTATCCATCAAGTGTGGAATGGTCTGTAAAATGTGGGTGTAGCACCATATACCCATTTGGATGGAAATGGAAAGGTAAATGGTGACCTGGGGTTTCTTGTGAAAATCTATCCCCAGCTGTCTTGGGCATGGCACGTTTAAAGGTGCTCAGTCTGTGGAGTTGGGGGTGGACCCTTGAGTTGCTCAATCTGTGGAGTTAGGGGTGGGCTCTTGAGATGCTCAGTCTGTGGAGTTAGGGGTGGGCTCTTGAGTTGCTCAGTCTGTGGAGTTGGAGGTGGGCTCTTGAGTTGCTCAGTCTGTGGAGTTAGGGGTGGGCTCTTGAGTTGCTCAATTTGTGGAGTTAGGGGTGGGCTCTTGAGTTGCTCAGTCTGTGGAGTTAGGGGTGGGCTCTTGAGTTGCTCAGTCTGTGGAGTTAGGGGTGGGCTCTTGAGTTGCTCAGTCTGTGGAGTTAGGGGTGGGCTCTTGAGATGCTCAGTCTGTGGAGTTAGGGGTGGGCTCTTGAGATGCTCAGTCTGTGGAGTTAGGGGTGGGCTCTTGAGTTGCTCAATCTGTGGAGTTGGGGGTGGGCTCTTGAGTTGCTCAGTTGGTGGAGTTGGAGGTGGGCTCTTGAGTTGCTCAGTCTGTGGAGTTAGGGGTGGGCTCTTGAGTTGCTCAGTTGGTGGAGTTGGAGGTGGGCTCTTGAGTTGCTCAGTCTGTGGAGTTGGGGGTGGGCTCTTGAGTTGCTCAGTCTGTGGAGTTGGGGGTGGGCTCTTGACTTGCTCAGTCTGTGGAGTTGGGGGTGGGCTCTTGAGTTGCTCAGTCTGTGGAGTTGGAGGTGGGCTCTTGAGTTGCTCAGTCTGTGGAGTTGGAGATGGGCTCTTGAGTTGCTCAGTCTGTGGAGTTGGGGGTGGGCTCTTGAGTTGCTCAGTTGGTGGAGTTGGAGGTGGGCTCTTGAGTTGCTCAGTCTGTGGAGTTAGGGGTGGGCTCTTGAGGTGCTCAGTTGGTGGAGTTGGGGGTGGACCTCTGGGCTGCTCAACATAAAAAGTAGAGGTGAGCCACTCCTACTTCATACAGAAAATAGAGAGATGGATTAATATTAATATAGATATGAAGTTTAATATCTTAGCAGAGAGGATGAACATACAGCAACCATCTCTTATTTGTCTTTTTTTTCTTCTTCAGGGAAGGAGTGATGGAGTTTCTGCTTGTCAACCATCCCTTGGACTGCCCCATTTGTGATCAGGGAGGTGAATGTGATCTGCAGGTGAGACTGCACTGGTTGTGATGTAACTTCATTCACATATCCTTCATTTATATTTAGATATGGTAAAAAAAAAAGGTAAAGGACCCTTTTCCACGCCTTTGGGCATATAGGGCTAGACCTATATTTTTTTATAGACCTCCTTTCCTTCCCAGGACTACACCCGGTACCAACTCAAGGCTGGGTCGACCTGGGAGCCAAGGTTTTTTGAAAATAGTCCTTCTGATCCGCGGCGAACGTCTAGCCACTCGGCCACAGCGACTCCCTTTAGATTTGGCCAATAATTATTTTAACTGATTTAGGGGGTCGGAAGGTTTTACATTTTTGTTTTAAATAATTTCTGAATCCTCAACAAGATTTGTTACTCCTTAGTCTGGTGTGCTGAGATTTAAATTGTTTGAACCCTGAATTTGTGTGCATCTGTTGTAAAGCGCTTGATTACTGAAGTGAAGGTAAAGCCGGGAGATGTGAACCAGCATCATTGCACACGGTTATACACCATAACTGCTCTTCCACCAGTACGGACAACTGTCTGCCTGTGTCGCCGTCCGCAGGCAACTCTGTAGCTACAGCGACGTTCCTCCGTTTACCCCAGAGTGTTAACTCTGGTAGCCATTACCTACAGGCTGGGTGAACCCCGGGAACCGCCATGTTTCGAACACCGGCCGTGGGCTGCAGCGAGTCGCAGCTGTATTTAAAAGCGAGTCTCCTATTGACTGCGCTAACGTGGCCCCATTACTGACGTCTCCATGGGATGTGTGTTGCAGAGTTCACCTTTCCCAGTCAAAGCACAGAAACCAGTAGAGTGTGCAAAATGGGGGTACTAAAGGTTAGCCCCCCCCCCCCCCCCCCCCCCCCCCCCCCCCCCCCCCCCCCCCCCCCCCCCCCCCCCCCCCCCCCCCCCCCCCCCCCCCCCCCCCACCCCCCCCCCCCACCCCCCCCCCCCCCCCCCCCCCTCCCCCCCCCCCCCCCCCCCCCCCCCCCCCGAACCCCCTTTCCAAGATAGCGCTGATTAAAAATCCCCATGAAGCGGTTAGACTGTCATTGTTACAGTAGCCAGTCCCCAACAGGCCTGATTAATGACGTTCATTTTATTTGTACCTGCGCAGTGTTTTGGAGGATTAGGTATGATTATATTTCCTAAAAATACAGTGGGGGTGGGTGGGCTGGGGTGTATCCAGAAAATGGCTTCTGTGGCATTGTGTCCTAATTTGCCTTTAGTCTTCACTATACGAGTCATCATATACAGTGGAACCTTGATTATATGTTTTGCAATTATCAAAACTCTGTATTGTCTTCCTTAGTTAAAAAAAAAAAATTCTTGGGAATATAGAGGGAAAAGGTCATAAAGCATGAGGCAGTCATCTGTCAGGGACTTTTTCAAGAACTGAACACGTATTTCATCTCAGGCTAACCCTTTCCCAATTGTGTAATTACTTATCAATTAACAGTTTAAAAAAAAATCCATTTATTTAATTTTTATAAGTAAGCCTTCATTTTACATTGATGTTTTGATCATTGTAAATGTGTTTATTCCTACTGTATGATGTACATGATTTAATTTCCCTGCAGTTAGACATTGTAAATGTGGTCTTAAAAATACAAGAAATTTGTAAAGTGTAGAGAACAATACATAAGAAACATGGACAAAGTACAGGCATCTACTAAGAGTCGGACAGAATGAGTAGGAGCCGGTTTTGATGTAAAATGGGTGTTTTTAATTTTAGGTGGGGCAAACAAATGATAGCAAGATGCCATAGCAATAACAAAAAGTGCACAACCAGGAAAAGAAACACGGCGCAGGGGCGTTGACACAGAGCAAATATGGCATATCCAGCTTTTTTTTGTTATCAGTCCTACCCTTGCGCCACATTAGGCTGGAAATTGTGGAGTCAACTGTACATTTCTTTTTGCTGCCAAGAGAATTATTCCACTAAATTTTGATTTTTGTATACTGATTACTACATGTACAGTTGATGGATGATTGAATATCCATGACAGACCACTGAAGCGATGGAGAGATGAAATATCTGTTTCCGTAAATAATAGCATCTGTGAGCTTTGGGAGGGTTTCGACAGTGGTATCAAGAAGCCGACCACCCAGAAAGCAGTGGCAAATTACTGGACCTAAATTTGCCTAGAAAAACCACAACAGCTAAAAAATGCTGGGGTTGTTTCTGCAATGTCCTGTAAAGGACAAGCTAAGCTTGTGACTAATCTTCTTCTAATGTTATTCATAATCCCTGTGGGGTTTCCTGGGTCCCTTTATTGGGAAAACAAGAATGGACCCAGTTGACGGCAGTAACCCTAAATCCTTGGGCTCAAGATCCCGCTGCCTACACCGCAAAAAATGTAAATACAGGTAGTAATGGTAGTTGTGTGTGTGCGTGCATGTATGTGTGTGTGTGCAGTTTTAATCAAGTGTAATAGTCCCGTCCAGTGCTGATTTATTGCTGCCAAGAGTTTCAAATACTTTGTTGTGTTGTCTCTGTCAACCAGGACCAGTCTATGGCATTTGGCAGTGACAGAAGCAGGTTTACAGACAATGCTTTCAGTGGAAAACGTGCTGTAGAAGACAAGGATATTGGACCGCTGGTGAAAACCATCATGACACGATGCATTCATTGTACCCGCTGTATCAGGTGCGTATACATCTCTGTTGTTGGATTTACATTTTTCCACGTGTGGGTTTTTGGGCTCCCCCCGCCCCATTTGTTGGGAGGAAAGTGATAAAAGTCCTGCTGTCCCCTAAGAGCCGCTGTGATCTAGTGGTTAAACACTTCTTCTTCTTCTTCTTCTTCTCTTCCACATTGTACCTCATCGAAGTGTCGGGGGGAGATGTAATGTTCTTTGATGAGCTCTGTCAAGAGCACTATTAAGACAGATGTTCATTTTTGTTAGGCTGTTCTTAATGCCATCACTACATATTTTCCAAGGTCTTCCACTCGCTCTATACCCGTTGTAACGTTGTAGTGTGGCTCACTGTGGCTGATAGTGCCAGGGCATTCTTGTTAGGTGTCCAAACCACTTCATTTGTTGTTCTTTGATGACCTGTAAGACTGGCTTTATTCCTAGCATTTGTCTGATTTCATGATTTCGCATTCTGTCTTTCTTTGAAACTCCTGTAGCTCTTCTAAGGCATTTCATCTCTGTTGTCACAATTTTACGTTCATTGGAGGATGTAAGTGTCCACGTTTGGCATTGATAGCATAGTGTTGGCCAAAAAATAGTTCTGATAAGATTCACTTTAGTACTCCGAGGTATCTGCTTGTGTGTCAACGGGGGAGATCTGGAGCTAATTTCTCTGTCCAGTTTTCCGTCGGATGTGAAAATAGCTCCCAAATACTTAAATTCCTCTGTTTGTCTCAGGGTGTTGTTTTTTAATTTAATTTCTAAATTGTCTTTCTGTCTTCCAGTCATCATTGTCTCTGTCTTCCAATCATCATTGTCTCTGTCTTCCAATCATCATTGTCTCTGTCTTCCTATCATCATTGTCTTTCTGTCTTCCTATCATCATTGTCTTTCTGTCTTCCTATCATCATTGTCTTTCTGTCTTCCTATCATCATTGTCTTTCTGTCTTCCTATCATCATTGTCTCTGTCTTCCTATCATCATTGTCTCTGTCTTCCTATCATCATTGTCTCTGTCTTCCTATCATCATTGTCTTTGTCTTCCTATCATCATGGTCTCTGTCTTCCAATCATCATGGTCTCTGTCTTCCTATCATCATTGTCTCTGTCTTCCTATCATCATTGTCTCTGTCTTCCAATCATCATGGTTAGACACTCACCTGTGGATCTGAAGGTGGTGAGTTCAATTGCTGATGGAGCCAGACTTTTTTTTCAAAAATGACCGCGGCTTCTAGGTTGACCCAGCCTTAAATGTGTACCAGGTATATTCCTGGGAAGTAAAGGTAGCCAGCATGATGTAGACCTCATCACCCACAGAGTGCCAGTTGGTCTATAAAATACAGTTCTAGCCCTGTGTGCCCAATACACCTGAAGGTGGGGAACAGGGTCCTTTACTTTTCACTTTTCCTACGGCCCCCTAGAGGGCAGACCATAAAAGTTGTCTAATTAGAGTTTCGCTGAAATCGGATGCCTTTGTGCAAAAGGCACAGATATCACAGCCTATCTGTAAACCACACCACAACATGCCAACCATCCCCTTAAGTGTGACTATACAAGAGGGATTTGCTTTTTCTCAGTAATTGTTGCGTGTTATGTACCAGTTATGTGCTTTTTAAAATAAAAAATAAAAATTGGTTGAATGTCGACAAGTCATACCTGTTGATATTTTTCCTGTAGTTTTGTTTTTCACGTGAAGTGGTGCTTTTGCCTTTGTTAATTAAAATATTGTGAATTATTCGCAGAGGACAAAAGTACTTAATACTCGTATTCCTTAGTTTACAAGAGGAATGAGGTTATTGGTGGCATGTTGAATTATGTATGTGCTAGAGGTGCTAGAGGATAGGCTGAATTAGTAAACTGATGGGAAATATGTTATTTTCATACATCTCTAGATTTGCCAGTGAGGTTGCTGGTGTCGATGACCTTGGTACTAGTGGCAGAGGGTCGGACATGCAGGTTGGCACATATGTGGAGAAACTGTTCAAATCTGAATTGTCTGGAAATGTCATTGACCTTTGCCCTGTAGGCGCGCTGACCTCCAAGCCCTATGCTTTTACTGCTCGTCCTTGGGAGACAAGGTAAGCTTCTGACTAATCTTCTTCTATTGGAATTCATAATCCCTGTGTGGTTTCCTGGGTCCCTTTATCGGGAAAACAAGAATCGACCCACTGCCTCCCCAACAAGCATGTTGTATGGGTTGACTAATTGGGGGCATCCTTTCGAAGTGGGAGTACATGTATATGAAAGGTACCAAACCAACAGTCTGCATACAAATAAGCCAGATCTGTAAAACGTATGCACAACACTCAGGTTCTGGAACAAGACTAAAGTCCATAGGTGGACGACACTCAGAAATTTCTGCCGGTAAACACGAAAAAGAAGGGGTTTATAAAAATTCTTTTGTGGAAGCTTTTATTTATTTGTTTAAAAGAGTATAACAATGGGGTGTTATTGTTGTGGATGCCTGTCAAGGGTTTAGCTCTGAGGAAAAGGAGGCAAGAAATGCATTTTGTTACCTGATCATCTAATTATGCTCTGACCTAATGTGTTGTTGTGGAACTTGTCAGTTTGAGATTTGAATCTTATACATCTTGAAGAGTTAGTCACTGTTGATGACCTTGGACTAGCCAGTACCGACCACACTGAATAGAGTGCTGCCAAAGCAGCATTTCCCAAAACTATCAACTGAAGGCATTTTTATAGGGTGGCTGGCTTTAGTGTGCACACCATACGGTTGTTTTATTAACTGCAAGCCATGAATATACATATAGTAACTTGCTATCTGTAAAGACAGTGGGTTACGTATGTCGCAGTGTGGCACGTTGGTTTCGGTCACAGGGGTGAGGACAAGTTAAGGCTGTTGTGATGTGTATAAGGAGATGCTTGGTGACTCACCTCGGCCGCAGGCAGGCTCTGTACTGGTTTTATGGACCCTCATGCCAGACTCCTGCCACACGTCCTTGTCGTGCGCTACAGACAATGGCTCTCCTTTGTGACCAGAACCAGGCTGGCAGGGAATCTTGGAGTTAGCGACCCCCAAAGATTTAGCGTCCAGCCTGGCTCATATCAGCCCACTCCCAATGCATGGGTGAAACCATCTGATCAAAACTCATTTGGAACATGAGTAAAGCCTGTAACTGAATGTAGTACCAAATGACAACTCTCAGTTAAAACGTCTGTCGAGTGAAAGAATTAGTGAACTATTGAGATTCAGCCGTAGACCAAAAGATTTGCTTGCAGCTTGGATGAGCAGCATCTCTTGAAGGCAGTTTCTTGCAGAATGCTTCTGTCTCCGTACATCCTTTGTCAGTCCTCAACATCGTTTTCATGACAAAAGTTATCTTCCTTTGGCAGAAAAGTGGAAAGCATTGATGTTCTGGATGCTGTTGGCAGCAACATCGTTGTCAGCATGAGAACCAATGAAGTCATGAGGATCTTGCCCAGACTCAATGAGGTGAGTTGCTTTAAGCTGGGGAATTTTCAATATGAAGAGAAAGTCCTGTTTTCTGAGGGTTTTTATTTTATTTGGCTGTCTCACTGAGGACTTTACATTTATTGAGTTGCATTGTCTAAATGAGAAGAACTTGTGTCAGTTCTGTTGTCTTAGTATAGCTGTCTCAATAAGCTGGCTTACCTTAATCCTTTTGCACCGGCGGCTCTTTGGGGGAGAACTATACAGTGACTTGTGTTTGACCCTGTAACCTTATTCTATTTAACTACTAAATTATGGAAAATTGTAACATCATAATGGCTTTGCAAAAGGGAATTTTTTTTCCACACGAAACCTCCCTAAATGTTATTTTTAGTAAATAAATTTTTAATCGGGGTCTCCTAAACACTGCACAGGCGCAAACAGACCCACTGCCATTGGGCTTCTCAGGGACAAGTGTGTGTCTGTTAAGTGTCATCTGGGCTTCTCAGGGACAAGTGTGTGTCTGTTAAGTGTCATCTGGGCTTCTCAGGGACACGTGTGTGTCTGTTAAGTGTCATCTGGGCTTCTCAGGGACAAGTGTGTGTCTGTTAAGTGTCATCTGGGCTTCTCAGGGACAAGTGTGTGTCTGTTAAGTGTCATCTGGGCTTCTCAGGGACAAGTGTGAGGCTGTTAAGTGTCATCTGGGCTTCTCAGGGACAAGTGTGTGTCTGTTAAGTGTCATTTTTAAGGATTTTGAAAAGGGTGATGATGCCTGATAAGCAGCATTATGGGGCACAAGAGTTAATGAAGTGAAATGTCCTAATGAGAGGAACTCTCTTAATGAGGTAACTTGCTTTATTTAATGAATGTTGTTACTTCAAAAAAGTCTTTTTCTGAATGAAGTGAGGTGCCATAATAAGGGGAACTGCTAAAATAAGATGAGCCATCCGAGTCAGGTTACAGTTGCTAATGGACAGAAGAAATTGGTGACATGGTCAGTTCCTGTGCTAGCTGTGTCTGCCCTGAGCTGTTAATTATCTGTCCTACATTACATGGAGACTCCCGGGAGTGAGCTCTGGGAGATAACTGCTTGCTCATCTTTACACTCCGCACATTTGCTTGTGGTTTTAAAAAAAAGTCTTTGTGTATTGATTATATTAGTTTTATGTTGGGTATAACTTGAGACAGTGACTGGAAGAATATTATCAGTCCAATTGATCCAGAACACCCAAAACCAAGATCTGCGGAGATGCATGAACGCTTATATCAGGTGGCAATTCACTTGATGATGATAATGATGTTGGTTACATTAGTTATGTTGATGATCTTCATTGTAAGCAAGTAAATGTACCTTTTCCATGCCTCCAGATGTATTGGGCTTATAGTGTTAGATCTTTACTTTATAGACCACAGGCACCAAGTGGGAGATGTGGTCAACATAACACGGGCCGCCTTTCATTCCCAGGACTTTACCTGGTACTCATTTAAGACTGGGATGGGGGGGGGGGGGGGGGGGGGGGGGGGGGGGGGTGCTAGGTTTTTTTTTTAAAAAGCCCTGGCTCCACTCGGATTTGAACCCACAACCTTCTGATCCACAGTCAAGTGTCAGATTTAAGTTTTATGTTGATTCAATTAGTTGTTGTCTGTATTAGTTTTATGTTGATTATATTAGTTGTAAGTATGTTTATTATATTTGTTTTCAGTATATTGACATTTTACTTGTATATTGATTATATAAGTTGTAAGCATATTGATTATATAAGTTGTAAGCATATTGATTATATAAGTTGTAAGCATATTGGTTATATAAGTTGTAAGCATATTGATTATATAAGTTGTAAGCATATTGATTATATAAGTTGTAAGCATATTGATTATATAAGTTGTAAGCATATTGATTATATAAGTTGTAAGCATATTGATTATATAAGTTGTAAGCATATTGATTATATAAGTTGTAAGCATATTGATTATATAAGTTGTAAGCATATTGATTATATAAGTTGTAAGCATATTGATTATATAAGTTGTAAGCATACTGGTTCTTATTTCACTCTGCTACCGCTGCAGTAACTGTTCAGCTCTGATATATTATTGAATCATATAGGATGTTAACGAGGAGTGGATTTCAGACAAGACCCGTTTTGCCTATGATGGCCTGAAGAGACAAAGACTGACTACACCATTTGTTCGAAATAAGGATGGTGTTCTGGAGGCTGCAGACTGGGAGTCAGCCTTCATCAGAGTGGCAGAGAGGGTGAGTCCAGGATGGTTGAGTAGAATAGGTAGGGTCAGTGGCAGAAAGGGTGAGTCCAGGATGGTTGAGTAGAATAGGTAGGGTCAGTGGTAGAAAGAGTGAGTCGGGGATGGTTGAGTAGAATAGGTAGGGTCAGAGGTAGAAAGGGTGAGTCCAGGATGGTTGAGTAGAATAGGTAGGGTCAGTGGCAGCAAGACTGAGTCAAGGATGTTTGAGTAGAATAGGTAGGGTCAGTGGCAGAGAGGGTGAGTCCAGGATGGTTGAGTAGAATAGGTAGGGTCAGAGGTAGAAAGGGTGAGTCCAGGATGGTTGAGTAGAATAGGTAGGGTCAGTGGTAGAAAGAGTGAGTCGGGGATGGTTGAGTAGAATAGGTAGGGTCAGAGGTAGAAAGGGTGAGTCCAGGATGGTTGAGTAGAATAGGTAGGGTCAGTGGCAGCAAGACTGAGTCAAGGATGTTTGAGTAGAATAGGTAGGGTCAGTGGCAGCAGAGGGTGAGTCAAGGATGTTTGAGTAGAATAGGTAGGGTCAGTGGCAGAAAGGGTGAGTCAAGGATGTTAGAGTAGAATAGTTAGGGTCAGTGGCAGCAAGAGTGAGTCAAGGATGTTTGAGTAGAATAGTTAGTGGCAGAAAGTGTGAGCTAGATTTCTGAGGAAAATAGGTAGATTCAATCAGTGTGACAGAATTAATCAGTCATGTAGTCAGTGTGGCATTAGAGTGGCAGAAAGACTGACATTAGAGTGGCAGAAAGACTGACATTAGAGTGGCAGAAAGACTGACATTAGAGTGGCAGAAAGACTGACATTAGAGTGGCAGAAAGACTGACATTAGAGTGGCAGAAAGACTGACATTAGAGTGGCATAAAGACTGACATTAGAGTGGCAGAAATACTGACATTAGAGTGGCAGAAAGACTGACATTAGAGTGGCAGAAAGACTGACATTAGAGTGGCAGAAAGACTGACATTAGAGTGGCAGAAAGACTGACATTAGTGTGGCAGAAAGACTGACATCAGTGTGGCAGAAAGACTGACATCAGTGTGGCAGAAAGACTCCTTCTGGAGTTCTTTTGTGAGCTTACTGACTTCATCAAGAGAGATATTTAAGTCCTTCTGGAGTCCTTCTGTGAGCTTACTGTCTTCATTAAGTCCTTCTGTAGTACTTTATTGAAGACTTTCTGTCTTCATCGAGTGAGTTATTTAAGTCCTTCTGGAGTCCTTTTTGAGCTTACTGTCTTCATCAAGTGAGATACTAAACTCCTTCTGTAGTCCTTTTGGGAGCTTATTACCCTAGACCTAAGCATATGTGATACTGAAGTTTTCTGTGACCTGACTGTCCCAGGTGAAGGCATGTGAAGGGAAAGCGATAGCTGGCATTGCTGGCAGTCTGGCTGATGCTGAAGCACTGGTGGCCCTCAAAGATATGTTGAACAGGCTGGGCTCTGAGAATCTCTTCACAGAGGAAATGTTTCCAGTGACAGGCTCAGGGTAAGTCCATCTTTCTTTTATGTGCGAATCTATTACAGTGGTAAACTACCTTCTTCAAAATGCCAAGAATAGTCATGATTTCACAAAACTGCAGAGGGCAGATGAAAATCCTTATACCTGATTAGAGATATTGTACATGAGGCAGTGTTATTCAAACAGGTTGTGAGATTTGGATACACATAGTTGTTCAGGCAATTGTTCTTAACTACCTATTTTGAATTTTTCCAATTTAATGTTCATGTGTACCTTAGGCATTGATTCCAAATGCATTTAACTGAATGATTGATTGTTATCACATATATGGACCTCTACTATTGTATAAACGCTTGTGTAAGAGGGACATAAATGATACAGGTATTGAGGTGAATTCATGGGAACAAAATACCATGGGCCATCATGGGGAAAGGGGGGGGGGGGGGGTCAAATAAAGAGTGGGATGAGAATGAAGTAAGAAATCATTGCAGAAAGGATGAGAGCTGAGCATCCGAGAAAAAACAGACTAAATATAAATGCTGGCAACAGTGGTCCTGAAATCCCATGCTATAACTGTTGATGACTTTTTCTAATACACGTGGGTCTTGCTAGTCACACTCTCCATCGCCATCGGCTCTGAGACCTATGCCTCCTCGTAGCGCAATATAACACTCGTCTATAAGATGGAAAGGTGTCAGCAGCATCAACAATATATAATGATCGCTCTGTATTGTGTGTATCTCTCGTATGTAAAAATTTCTAGCAGTATTGTTACTTGCTTTGTTATTTTTGTCGACAGCACTGACTTCAGGTCAAACTATATCATGAACACCAGTATCGCAAACATAGAGGAGAGTGATCTGGTACTACTAGTGGGTACGAACCCACGACTAGAAGCTTCACTTGTCAATGCTCGAATCAGAAAGACGTGAGTGATTGTTGGTTCATGATTATGAGTGCATTGTTTTGTTAAGTGTCTGATTACATGGAAGCACATTCTTAGAATATGCTGAATACCATTCTGATTACTTATTTAGGAATCAACAACATAGCACACCGGGTGTACCCATAGATGCTCCGTCTCCCGCAGCAAATGTTTTGAGGTGTAGATGCTAACTTTCCCATAGAAAACTGATTATACACCCACCAATCTCTTTCTCTCATCCATCCCTCCTTACTGAATCCACACTTCATTCCTCGTTCACAAATTCATTCTTGCACGTTATTTTTATCTAATCTCGCGTGTTCTGTCAGCAGTCGTTCATGATTGGTCTTCAGTAGGAGTGTTCCGGTAGCTTTTGCTTTTGTAGCCGTAAAATCTGCTTTTTCATTCCCTCACACTCCTGCCTGTCCTAAATATATTCACATTAAAGATATGCCTTTTTGGAGTTATAGCCAATTGTGGTTAATGGATGCGAATCACAGACACTTAATACATCAGCGACAGTTTTGTTCTTTTTAAAAAGAAAACTGTATCTGATCCCCTAGATCTCCTTGTGGGTTCTGGGGCCCCATTGTGGGGGGGGGGGGGGGGGGGGTGGAAGAATAGATCCACTACCTTTCTAACAATCACGTTGTAAGAGTCAACTAATTCAGAATTTTCCTTCAAAGTTGGAATGCATCTGCCTGAGAGGCAAGGAACCAACATTCTGCATAGAAAAAAGCAGATCTTTGAAATGGATAGGCAAGTGAAACTCAACTTCTGGAACAAGACGAAAGTCTTAACAAAGGACGTGGCATGAGATGGTCGAGGGCCTGCACTCCGTTCAAGAGAGGAAACACAGAAGATGGAGGAGAGGTTATATAGATGCTAAAGTGTGCTTCTGTGGAAGGTTTAGGTGTGCAAGAGTCTCCTTTAGTCTTTTACCATATTTCTGGGTGGCTTTTTAATGAATATCGTGCATTTCCCATCTGCTTTTTTAAGGAATATCATGCATTTCCCATCTACTGACTCAGAGAAAAATCATGCGTTTTCCATATGCTTTCTTAGGGGATACCATGTCTGTCCCATCTGCATTCTTAGGGAGTATTGTGCGTTTCTCCATCTGTTGTCTTAGGGAGTATCATGTGTTTCCATTTTACTGTCTTAGGGAAGATCATGAGTTTCCATCTGCTGTCTTAGGGAATATCATTTTTTTCTTCCGACTCTCCTCTCTGAGAATATCATGTATTTTCTCTCTTAGGAAATATTGTGTTTTCCATCTAGTTTCTTAGGGTATACCATGTGTTTCCTGTCTGCTGTTTTAGGGAGTACCATACGTTTCTCCATTTGCTCTCTTGAATTATATCATTAGTTTCTCTAGTAAGTACTCATAACAGTGTAAATGTAACCAGGAGATAGAGTGAATTTGAAGTAGTGTATTTGCCTCCAGAAGTTTCAATGTGGTTGCAGATGATTTTTTACACAGCAAGAGCTTATTTTTTTACATAGTAAAAGATAATTTTTACATAATAACAGTTTAAGAAAGTTGTAAACTTACTTGCTCCCATGGTGTTGGTGTTGGTGAAAAAATAGTTCACATGTAACATGCAGCTTGTAGCAAAGATTCTTTCAGAGTTACTTCTGCCCTGGCAAAATTAGACAGAGCAACCCACAATAGATTATTTACAGTTCCTGGGTGGATTCCAGGGAAAAAAAGAATATGTCCCCACCATTTAACAAGCATGGGGTAAAAGATGACTGAATATGAATAGTTTGCTGAAATTGGATGTGTTGGGCCGAAAAGCATTGATATCATAGCCTGGCTGTAAACCATGGGCAGAGTGCCAATAACCCTTTCAATGGCGAATGTAGAAAAAGATTATTGTTTATAGCATGTAAGTTTGTGTGTGACTTGGGAGTTGATAAAAAACTACATTTATTTTCCAGGAGGTTAATCGTTGGTAACAGGTCTCGATTGATTAGTGGAATGACATGTTCAAGAACAGTTTTCTTCTGACTGAATAACCTAAATGAATGAAATGAAAGTATAATTGTATTGACTGTTTCTCATTTGTTTCTAGGTGGGTGCACAGTGATCTATGTGTGTATATGGTAGGAGCCCCAGTTGATCTGTCATATGACTACGAGGTAATGTTCAAGTGAGGTTGTGGTACAATTTAGCTAAGTTATGTTATCACAATCGACAGCTTTGCACACTGGGCATTCCCATGCATGCTCAGTCCTCTAATGGAGCAGCCAACATGGATGTTGGTTATAGTATCTATCTGCCTGCTCATTTCCCAACACACCAGCATGATCTAGAGAAAGTATCCAAAGAATGCTAACTACCCAGGACCTTCAACTGTCATTAGTGTATGTTAAATTTTACCTCATGTTGATACACGCCATAAAAAATAACTTCTTATAATTTATAAAAAGATTTGCAAATGTTCTAAAGTTTAGAGGTTTTTTGTGTGGCTCGTTTAGGTAAATGATCTAACATGATCTATGCATAAAGTGCCTATGTGAAAAATGGGATCAGGCTGTATGGCCTTTTTAAAAAAAAATGCCAGGCTGTTTATATTGGGAACCTATAAACATGTAGGTATGCAGATCTGTCTTTCTGTCAATCTCTCTGTATCTGTGTATGTGTATGGAGCAGAGTCGCCAAGAGGTACAGCAACCGCCTCTACATTGTGAACACGTAGTTTGACTCATGGTGTGGACTAAATATATTAAATAATGAAACACATGATGATGCAATCTTAATTTAACTAGTATGTTACCAGGGCTCCGTAAGGGAGGTATAGTTGTAGTTCAGCCTACTATACATGTCACAAGGTGTGACCCAGGAAGGTTGGGGTACGATTTGCTACCCTGCCCCGTAGGAGATTTTGGCTGCATGTACATCAGTGTATCATATTAAAGGTGAAAGAATTGACTTCATTGCACTGAGTTTTATCTCATATAGCTTGGTCTCTCTCTCTCTTCAGAGCCGCTAGCTGAGAGTGTCACACAAAGCATAAACTCTGTAGCTCAGGTATTGACCCCAGGAATCTCCCTTAAAATTGCACTTATGAACCGAATGGCTCAGGTATGAAGTGAACCTAGGCCCTTCTGAGCTTGAGGCAGACAGCTTGATCCTTTAGCCATGGTGACCCCCATGAAGGTGTAAAGATGGCTCAGGCTTAGTTGGCTGAGGGCCCGTGTTCCTTGAGAAGCTAGAATGCAGAAGAAGAAGACACTCCACCCCCACAGACCATGGGAAGAGTGGATCTTATGCTTAGCCTTAGACAAGGCTGAACAGTTTTAAGGACTCATTTACACCTAGACAACTAAACTATACAAATCCGAATAATTCTGCTACAACACACTTTGATTATTGCCGTAGAGTTCATGCACTGTGATTGGATTCTGAAACATAACCAATCACAATATAACACTTCAAAACCTAACATGTTTTTATGTAATTACAGTATCTGGGAGACAGTTTTAAAGTTCTGGAAGACATAGCTTCAGGAAGTCACCCTCTTGCTAAAGTAAGTAGTAAACTTATTTGTGTCCTTGGGCTTACATTGACAGATTGATTTTTTAAACCCTATCTTGAAGGTCCGCAAACCCGACACAGCCGGTTGGTACCGTAAAGCCGTTATTTTTTCCATCTCAGAATACATATTTTGTGCAAGTCTGTCTAAAAGACATAAAATAGAAATTAGATTTACATCAGCAAACATGCAGAGTGAATGAGAATGCATTTACTAATAGTAGCAGTTTGAGGGGGGGGGGGGGGGGGGGGTTGGTTGAGAAAAAATGCTCACCATAAATCCATTTTTGGTAGGGGTGTAAAGTACATTAAAAAAAGGTTGGGGGGGGGGGGGGGGGGGGGGATTCTCAAAATATGAAAAGTGCATGATGTTGGTTTGTATTTTCCAAATTATTGGGGTGAAAGCGTTAAACAGTTGATTAATCCATACAGCTCTGCTTGCTTTAATGCTATTGTTTAACTTAAAAAAAGTTGTTAAAAAATAAATGTAATAATAATAATAATAGGTAATTCTTCTTCACCTGAGCTTCTCATAAAAAAATTAGACACATATTTACACATCTGACTGCCCAAAATATCAGTCATCTCTGACCATAATATGTAGAACTGTACTAAAGTAGTCCACTGAATCAAGGCTATTTTTGATTGTAACCCCTGATTTAGCCACCGTATCCGTTATGTTCTGGCAGACAACTCTCTTGAGTGGCTTTCACATCCATTTTCATTTGTTTTCACTGAATTTCTTCTACTTGTTACACGTGTAACATGTTACACATAACCAAGAAATATTACCTGTTACACATGTAACACACTACACATGTAATACATTATGTAACACATTGCACATGTAACACATTACACATGTAACACATTATGTAACACATTGCACATGTAACACATTACACATGTAACACATTACACATGTAACACATTACACATAACCAAGAAATATCAGAAGTTGTTTTATTAAGGTGACAAGTGCATCACAGAATTCTCTTAGTCAGAAACAGTTCAGCTGCATTTGATCTGTGTGCATGTTCTTCATGTCATGGTTGACACGTAAGACATTCACAAGTGATGTCCATTGCTGCCAGTCCATAGCTGCTTTTTTACCCATGGTGTTCCATGTCAGTTTAAATTTCTCCCCGTGTTGGTTCTGGGGCCCCATTTTGGGGAAAACAAGAATAGACCCACTGCCTGCCCAAAAGCATGTCGTTAAAGTCAACTAAATTGGAGCTTCCTTCAAAGTCAGAGTATATCTGCCTAAGAGGCAAGGAACCAACAGTCTGCATGCAAATGAATCAGACCTGTAAAATGGATGTGTACGCAACACTCAGTTTATGGAACCGTACTAGAGTCCAGAAGTGGACGAACATCCAGAACTTTCCACTGGAGTTTACAGCCGGTGAATGCAAAGAAGAAATTTACATTTCTTCATTTCCTTTTCCACTGTCCTCCAGGTTTCATAGTCTCATCCCTGTCTCTTTTTCCTTGTGTCATCCACATCTCCTTTGCCTTGTGTCATCCACATCTCCTTTGCCTTGTGTCATCCACATCTCCTTTGCCTTGTGTCATCCACATCTCCTTTGCCTTGTGTCATCCACATCTCCTTTGCCTTGTGTCATTCATATCTCCTTTGCCTTGTGTCATCTACATCTCCTTTGCCTTGTGTCATCCACATCTCCTTTGCCTTGTGTCATCCACATCTCCTTTGCCTTGTGTCATTCATATCTCCTTTGCCTTGTGTCATCCACATCTCCTTTGCCTTGTGTCATTCATATCTCCTTTGCCTTGTGTCATCCACATCTCCTTTGCCTTGTGTCATCCACATCTCCTTTGCCTTGTGTCATTCATATCTCCTTTGCCTTGTGTCATTCATATCTCCTTTGCCTTGTGTAATCCACATCTCCTTTGCCTTGTGTCATCTACATCTCCTTTGCCTTGTGTCATCCACATATCCTTTGCCTTGTGTCATTCATATCTCCTTTGCCTTGTGTCATTCATATCTCCTTTGCCTTGTGTCATCCACATCTTCTTTTCCATGTACCATCCACATCTCCTTTTCCATGTACCATCCACATCTCCTTTTCCATGTACCATCCACATCTCCTTTTCCATGTACTATCCACATCTCCTTTTCCATGTACCATCCACATCTCCTTTTCCATGTACCATCCACATCTCCTTTTCCATGTACCATCCACATCTCCTTTTCCATGTACCATCCACATCTCCTTTGCCTTGTGTCATTCACATCTCCTTTGCCTTGTGTCATCCACATCTCCTTTGCCTTGTGTCATCCACATCTCCTTTGCCTTGTGTCATCCACATCTCCTTTGCCTTGTGTCATCCACATCTCCTTTGCCTTGTGTCATCCACATCTCCTTTTCCATGTACCATCCACATCTCCTTTTCCATGTACCATTCACATCTCCTTTGCCTTGTGTCATTCATATCTCCTTTGCCTTGTGTCATCCACATCTCTTTTTCCATGTGTCATCCACATCTCTTTTGCCTTGTGTCATCCACATCTCCTTTGCCTTGTGTCATCCATATCTCCTTTTCCATGTACCATCCACATCTTCTTTTCCTTATATCATCAATCGGAGAGCTCTCAATGCCAGTGTGTCACTAAACATTCTGCAAAAATGTCCATACCATCTCCAACTTCTTTCTTTTATAAATAAGTTTTGCCAGTGATGAATATTTTGTTTTTCTCCTGGGCTCTTTATTTTTGATCTAGTTCAGCCAAAATATTCATTGGATTCTCTTGTCTAGTTTGTAATTCCTGCTATCATTTCCATTGCATACTGTTGTATGATAGTATTCCCAGAATTTTGTTGTTGTATGATAGTATTCCTGAAATGTTGCTGTTGTATGATAGTATTCCCAAAATGTTTCTGTTGTATTATAGTATTCCCAAAATGTTGCTGTTGTATGATAGTATTCCCAAAATGGTGCTGTTGTATGATAGTATTCCCAAAATGTTGCTGTTGTATGATAGTATTCCCAAAATGTTGCTGTTGTATGATAGTATTCCCAAAATGTTGCTGTTGTATGATAGTATTCCCAAAATGTTGCTGTTGTATGATAGTATTCCCAAAATGTTGCTGTTGGATGATAGTATTCCCAAAATGTTGCTGTTGGATGATAGTATTCCCAAAATGTTGCTGTTGTATGATAGTATTCCCAAAATGTTGCTGTTGTATGATAGTATTCCCAAAATGTTGCTGTTGTATGATAGTATTCCCAAAATGTTGCTGTTGTATGATAGTATTCCCAAAATGTTGCTGTTGTATGATAGTATTCCCAAAATGTTGCTGTTGTATGATAGTATTCCCAAAATGTTGCTGCTGGATGACAGTATTCCCAAAATGTTGCTGTTGTATGACCAGAGTTTTGTCTTCAGACTAACATGTAGATGATATGAATGCTCCAGTAAACTGTACGATTGGCTTCTACAGGCTTTAGAACAGGCAAAGAAGCCAGTGATCATCCTAGGCAGTGCTGGCTTGCAGCGATCAGACAATGGAGTCATCTACAACACAGTGAGGCGGATAGCAGCCAATGCCACCAAGCATCTTGAGGACAAGGATTGGAAGGTGTTCAACTACCTGCATCAGGTAAGTGTCCGTCTCACTCTTCTCTCAGCTTCCTCTCAGGGTGGTCATTGTCCCATTTGTCCACAGTCAGTAGAGAGCTGGTTGCCTCGTTGGAGGGCAGGGAAGAGAAAATACAGATTACCGTTCTGCTGGTTCTTCCTTTACTCAGCATTGAATTGATTCAGTGTTCCTTCATTTACTCAGCATTGCGCTGATTCATTGTTCCTTTTCTTACTCAATATTGTGCTGATTCAGTGTTTCTTTCCTTACTCAGCATTGCGCTGATTCATTGTTCCTTTTCTTACTCAATATTGTGCTGATTCAGTGTTCCGTCCCTTACTCAACATTGCACTGATTCGGTGTTCCTTCCTTTACTCAACATTGTGCTGATTCAGTGTTCCGTCCTTTACTCAACATTGCGCTGATTCAGTGTTTCTTTCCTTACTCAACATTGCACTGATTCAGTGTTTCTTTCCTTACTCAACATTGTGCTGATTCAGTGTTCCGTCCCTTACTCAACATTGCGCTGATTCAGTTTTCCTTATTATAAAAAGGTCGGTTTTTTCCCGCACCTTCCACAGAAAATATCACTGTCACCGCTGTAATGTTGGGTTTATTGTAGTCTCTAACAGTGTTAACACTGTTGGAATGGTTGCTATGGCTAAAAAGTTGGTAATGTTACTATTATTGCTAAAATAGGAATGATCTTACTATCAAGTTAAAATTAATATCAAAAGTTTTGAGTATTGCAGGACCACTCAACTAAATGTTCTCAGGCTCCAGAATGTCAGACAAATTTTGTTTCTTGTTTTTTTGCGGGCCAATGGACCGAGCAGCAGCTTAGACAGAACACTAACACCTTACAGTTGACAGGTGCTCTGTGGGCCACTTGCTGGGTCTCAGTGCGCCAGGTTTTCCCCACGGGCCACCAGTTGATTAGCCCTGTAATATTGAAAGAAGAGTACATTGCTTTGATCAGTGACGATATAGTCACTATAATGTATATAGAGCATTGATAATTGATGGGCCACGATGTGTTAGCTATGATAGTTTAACTAAAGATCATTGATAAATTGATGAGTCACTGTATATTTGCTGTGGTAATTTAACTGTATAGAACATTGATAATTGATTAGTAACGATGTATTTGCTATAATATTTTAACTATTAAAATTTATGAGTTACGGTTTATTTGCAATGATGGTTTAACTATAGAACATTGATTATTGATGAGTCACAGTGTATTTTCTGGATGGTTTAACTATAGAACATTGATAATTGATGAGTTATGATGGATTTGATATAATAGTATAACTGTATAGAACAATGATCATGTCCGTAAACAGCTTTCTGTTGTCATTCTATCTGGTAATTCTCTTGTCTTGAACATAGAGCGCCTCACAGGTCGGTGCCCTGGACCTTGGCTATCGGCCAGGAGTTGGTGCAGTGAAAGACATTCAGCCACGTCTGGTGTTTTTGCTGGGAGCAGATGCTGGAGCCGTCCAGACGAGCGACTTGTCATCTCCTGCTACCGTAGTTTATATTGGTATGTGACTTCTTTTCTGATCATTCGGTCCACATATTTTTTTGGTGTTTCTAAACAAATCACTCCTGCATTCTAGAATGGGCTATGGTCATTGAGTATTTGTACACATTGATCTTCCTCACCAAAAGAAGAGTTGACACTTTCCGTTTCTTTAGATATTTTTGTAGACAGTTAGGCGCTTTATTAATATCCTACCCCAAACAGGGGAAATCCGCATGTCATGGGACAGTCTAATATTTCAGGCGTGGTAGATAGGCTGCATGCAGTTGTAAGACCTAGTCTGCACTCTCTCGTGGGACATAGGTAGGTTGGAGTTAGGGCCAGGTCTAGATATTTTGGGGTCGCTAAAAGCATCAGAAAGCCGGGAAACCCAGTCTTACCACCCTCTAAAATGTTTGACTGTCCTGTGACGTCATCTGGGGTAGGATATTAAACCAGAACCGACAGTCACACTCCCTCATTGACCAGATCTGTTTCATGGGTTTGTTTATAGCCAATCAGAACACTGCGAGCACAATGTGCCAGCTGGGGTCGCAAACTTTTGTTAGCCACCCTCCCACTTCAACATAGCCCAACAACAATGCATGCTAATTTCCCCAAAAATACAGTGTATCCGGCATTGGAAATGTGCACATATTAACACTGCATGACAAGGGAGGAGACATCCTAAAAGAAAAATCATGTGAACTGACAGATGCAGTTGCTGATCGCAGATTGTGGCGAGGCATGATCTTTCACACCAGTCTGCAAGGCACTTGATGATGATCATCTAAAAGTTCTTTTGGAGTTGCCACAACTTGGTGGCTACAGGTCTTGGGTTCTTATTTGCACCGTGCCCATTTGTTTGAAAAAAAAAAAAGCATTGGCTCCAGGTCGACATCACCAAAATGGCTACCAAGAAATGTTCTGGGAAGAAAAGGCAGACAGCTTGATGTTGACTATGTAACTTACCATGTGCTGATAGGTCTATCAAATATGAGTCCAGAGCATCATACGACAGTAGGGCTTCGTATGAAATCCTTGAAAGTTTGATAGAAATTACAGTAACCAAGCATTTGTTTTGTGATCTGTCTGTTTTGTTATTAAGGATGTCAAGTGTGTTAAGGACATGACATCACAGTGCAGACAAACACTGTGACATCATAATGACAACTTAAATATGGCCGCCCCACCTTTGACATGTACCAGAGAGGAGTGGCGTTCTATTATCCATTTTTTTAATCAGTATAGGGGTGAAACCTATAGAAATTCATCGGTGATTGAAGTTTCACTAATGAGCACCTGTCAGTTCAATTTATGTGTATGAGAAATAGGAAGTTTTAAAATGGCGTAACGTGTACCTGACGTGTTTGTGAACAGTCAGTCATAGACAACAATATTGAGATGTTACAAGACATGATAATTGTAAATTCTGTCACACTTTTAAGGTTGTTCTTTTAAGCCCTCTCATGTGTCCGATGGGCCGCTGAAAAAAAACACCCTTTACATTTTGCTTTCTTCCTTCTCTTCCTCCTTCTCACTTTACCCCCCACCCCCTACCCCTCACCCCACCCAAGTGCGGTAGAGCAAAGATTCTCAACCAACTAAATGTGCCTGTTTTCTTTACAATTTTTGATCGCTCTGTTTTGTGTAGGTCATCACGGAGACTATGGGGCACAGATAGCAGACGTGATCCTGCCGGCAGCTACGTACACAGAGAAGGATGCTGTATACGTCAACACTGAAGGCAGAGTTCAGTTGGCACGTCAGGCTGTCAGCCCACCTGGCGTGGCTCGCCACGACTGGAAAATCATCAGGGCATTATCTGAGGTGAGTGGGGCAAGATAAGTGCTGGTTTAGAGTGAGTGGGACAAGATAGCTGCTGGTTAAGAGTGAGTGGGACAAGATAGCTGCTGGTTTAGAGTGAGTGGGACAAGATAGCTGCTGCTTTAGAGTGAGTGGGACAAGATAGCTGCTGGTTTAGAGTGACTGGGACAAGATAGCTGCTGGTTTAGAGTGAGTGGGACAAGATAGCTGCTGGTTTAGAGTGAGAGTGGGACAAGAGCTGCTGGTTTAGAGTGAGTGGGACAAGATAGCTTCTGCTTTAGAGTGAGTGGGACAAGATAGCTGCTGGTTTGGAGTGAGTGGGACAAGATAACTGCTGGTTTAGAGGGAGTGGGACAAGATAGCTGCTGGTTTAGAGGAAGTGGGACAAGATAGCAGCTGGTTTAGAGGGAGTGGGACAAGATAGCTGCTGGTTTAGAGGGAGTGGGACAAGATAGCTGCTGGTTTAGAGGGAGTGGGACAAGATAGCTGCTGGTTTAGAGGGAGTGGGACAAGATAGCTGCTGGTTTAGAGGGAAAGGGTTGTGAAATTCTTGTTTTTTAATTTATAACAGTTTCTTTCTACCTGTTTTTTTGTGTGTGATTTGTTAGAGATTCTTGTTAAATGGTTTCTTGCACGTTATATTACATTTTCTTGTTGTATAGTTTCTTTTTTATGATTTATAAACATTCTTGCTACATAGTTTCTTGTCTTGTGATTCTGTTTGGGGTAAAGATTCTTGTAACTTAGTTTTATGTATGATGTGTTGCAAATTCTTGTTACCGCGTGTCTTTTATAAAATGAAAAATATTTGTTTAATCTTCCTTTGTCATTTGACGGGAGAAGGAGAAGTCTCAAGAACTATATAAATCCTGTCCTGATATTCAGAAGTGAATAATGGACAGTTGGTCGACTAGTGAAACAAATATTTGAAAGTCGCAATGGAGTTTTACAGAGGAATGTTGAGAATACCATTGACAGATAAAAAGAGTAATGAAAATGTCTAAAAAGAAGCTAACTCGTGAAGAGAACTGATGGCCCACTTCAGACGGAGAAAATCTACATTCTTTGACCATGTCATGAGGAGTATAAAACTAAATACATTGTGACAGCGAGAAAGTTGGGGAGGAGAAGAGGCAGAAGGAGACTGGCAGGAAAGATGCTGGACAGTTTGACATCATGGCATGGAAGATCATCTGTGTCAGAGTTGATTGAAAGTACATGAGGCAAAGGTTGTGGATAGAATGACTACCAACGCCACGGGGCATGGACTGTAGAAGAAGAAGAAAAAGAAGAAGAAGCAGAAAAAGAAGTGTCTTGTCGTGCGGTTTGCTGCAGACTAAATTACATTGTGTCAACTCAAATGTTCTGTTGCAGATTCTGGGAGTGACACTTCCCTATGACAAGCTGACTGATGTGCGGGCTCGTCTGGCTGAGATCTCGCCTGCATTTGACCGCCCAGGCATTGCCGAGGAGTCCGGCTTTGAGGCTGTGACTGACCAGCTCATTAAGGTAAGTAGCATGCATGATGGTCAGTTATATAACAGTGGTTTTTTGCCAACAGCTCTAGTAAAAGTATCAGAATAAATGTCAATGATATCTCCACCCCCCCCCCCCCCCCCCCCCACCCTTAACAAGCTTGTCTTCAAAGACAACTAATTAGGAGTTTGCTGAAATCAGATATATTAGGTTATAAGGCATAGATTTTGCAGCCTAGCTGTAAACCGTAACGCGGAGTGCCAAGCGGGCTGAATGCAGAAGTAGTAGTTCTGTTTTTGATATTCTTAGCCTCTTGAAATAATTTGTTGAAGACAAACAGAGATTTTGTTAGCAAGATGTGCTTACAGGCCAGACTAGGCTTTGACATCAAATGAAGGTAGGGCTGGTATCCATCGGATTGTGCCTGCATCCATCTCCAGAATCATATTCAGAAGGAATCATTGATCCAGCCTCCACTTTTCTGTTCCCACCTCTGTTAAGCTTCTTAGTCATAGTTCAGTGGATTAATTTCCCGTAACACTACGTGTCATTGGGTCACCAACTTCTGTTGACTGTCTGATCAGCTCTCTCCACCTTTGGCGGTCAGTTGCGATGGACTTCATGGTTGCATGCCTGAGGCCAGTCCAGTCAATCAGGTTCTGTAACCAGGTCTGCCTTGGTGTGCCTCTTCTCCTCTTTCCCTCTACTGAGCCCTGCAGTATTGTTTTTGAGAGGCCGTTAGATCTATTACATGTCCATACCATTGCATTTTTGCCTTTTCATTGTAGTTAAAAGAGGCTCATAGTTGCGAGTGTGCTGTATAATTTGATGGCGAACCTCTTTGTTTGCAATGTGATCTCTGTATGAAGTCACCCGTTTCTGTCACTTTTTTTGATTAACATGGTTCTAGAATGATTGCAGAGGTTTTTGCAAAATTTGTATTTTGTATTGTTTCATCCAGAGAAGAAAAAGCATTTTTGCTCCGTTCTTTGGACAATGGACCGAGATCTGGAGAGATGCCTTTTCCAGTCGGCAGGGCGCGTGATAATGATGATATTTTGTAAATCCTAAAATGTACATGATCTGTTAAATCAGCTGGCTTATAAACAACTGCCCTTTCCATCAATAAATTTAGCATTTCTTTGATCTGTTTCAGGAGAGCAAAGTGAAAGCGGACAAGAGCATTGCAAGCATCAGCCCCAGACTACTGCGACTGAGAGATTTCTACATGACTGACCCCATCTCTAGGGCCTCTCCGACCATGGCTAAGTGTATCCAGGCCATAGATGCATCAGAGAAGAACCCGTACTCCAAGCCTGAAGCTTTGTGATGCTGCAGTAGATCACCAGATTAGTTTATTCAGTCAGAAAGTTGGCACTATTTGTTAACATAATCTTGAAGCTGTAAGCATGTTGGTTGACTAGCAAGCATTGTGTTGCCTTGTTGGGTTTGTTGTTGCGTGGTTGTTATTGCTCTAGTGTCATCAGGATGTGTCTTGTCAACGTATTTTATGAATAGACATTGACCTCCCCATGGATTAGGACATCTTTAAGCCTGTGCAGTAGCCCATCCATCTGCCAGTGTGGATGCCCAGGGTTCGTCTCCCTGGAGGCTGCTGTGTTGTCTTGCTCCATTAGATCTATTCATTATTTTGTGTATTTATGCCTTAAAAAATTATAATAAATAAGACACAGAGCCTTTTATTCTCAAGCAAGTGT